AGATCCTTTGTCAGTGCCAGCCATCTGGATGAGTCACAGCCATTGCTTGGCCAATTTGCTCTCTGTGAAAGCCTGAGAGAATGTTTTTTTTTTTTTTCTCGGTGAGTCTCCTTAGGCACACTATATCTTATCGATCACTTTCCTCAATCTTGATCAGAAAATTTGGTATAACAGGATTTCACATCAGAGGTTCTCTTATGTCCTGAGTCCTCACTGACTTTGAAGGGCTAGGGCCAAAATATGGGTATCCTTTTGGCCCATTTATCTGTCTAATTTTTGGTCTGAAAACTTTAGGTTTTAAACATTGAGAAGAGAAGCTTAATGATCTTATTACTCTGTAACGGAGGCAGTTGAGCTTAATATCACTATCTGTCTACATATCAAATGCCTTAGACATAAAATGGAACTGTTATTTTCCAAAAACTATGGATATTCTAAAATTTAAATCCATATAGAATGTGAAAAAACAACTATACATTTTTACACAGAAATTTAGAAATCAATCCATATACAACATTGTATCAGGACAATCCTATGACTTTTTTTCTTATCTCTTGTTTTCTTTTATTACCTTTTTTTAAACAAACATTTACTTTAAAGAGAGTATAGCAATAATTGATATGACATTAGAAGCAGTACACTTTTAGAAGACCAAAGTGACAGGTATTTCAAGCATGGTTTTAGTATCACATGTTGCTGCCCTCAAATGTAGTTGCTGACTTCACAGATATCAGCATATAGAGTTAGTCAGCGTGAGAATTCTACCCATTAACTGCTATTTTCAAAAACTGTATGGAAATTCTTAGGGCCACTCCTTAACCATCTTGTGTGTATAAATGTATGGTTTTGCCCCTGCTATGTTTCCTAACTTTTCTCCTTTCGCTCTCTTTGTTGTTCAATCCTTATGTTCTCTCTTTCCATTGAACTGTGTTGTACCTTTCAATTTTTATTTTTTCTTTTGAGCTCTTACACTAGGGAGACAATCTAATACTTACACATGTTGGTTTGGTTTATTTCACTTATGAGTATAGCTTCACGTTGCATCCACTTACCTACAAAGATTTTGAGTTTTTTTTTTTTCTTTTTTTAAATTTTATTTATTTATTTATTTATTT